CCCCCCCCCTGCCCCATAAAATGCGCAACTGCAAACGATGCATCTAAAAAAAAACAACAAAAACGGGCAAGGGCATAGCCAATATTACCCAGTTCTCGATGCCACAAATCATAGACGTATTCCAAGAAATGCATGGAAATAAAAAAGGTGTGCTTAACAGAAGGCTTGAATGCAGGCATTGAATAACTTCTTGCATATTTTTTTGTCATGGCATCATGAAGCAGTTTCTGCATTTTATTCCTTAGTGTGATCATTTCATGGTTTTTGCCATGCTGGTGCAAAAATAAAACAACTGGTGGTAGCCGAGGGCATGCGAATATGATTATGGCCAAGTGATGTGTTTCACTGTGCTTGCACGAAACAGTGCAATCCAGGTTAACGTGAACAAGGGTTTGGCCATACAAGTTCAACCTGCACGGCAGGGTCAACTTGCATGCGACATATGCAACTATTAGGACAACCGCTGCGCAGCATTCAGGTTTTGCAAACACTCCAATCATCATCTTGTTTATGAAAATTGACTAGTAAATATACCTGCAATGGCTTCCGGCTCAAGTCGTGAGATGTTGTTGTCCAAGAGTGACATCTTCTTCAAGGTCTTGCTGCGGAATTCCAACTGCCCCCTTAAAAGGGTGGGTCCCAGATTGCAACCGGAACAATAGAATTCCTCTAGTTTTTCCAGACCCTTCACCACAGCCGACGGGAAACTCGATAGCGGATTGTGACCTGTATTAGATGAGAAAAAGATGTAAGTAATATAGGGAGGAGTAAAAAATTAGTTCGCAATAAGAAACAATGTTCGGCAATAACCGTCGCATGTCTGGACAAATAGCATATCATTTTTTTGCAGTTATCGAATTATGTGGAAGTCAGGATCGGTTATCAGAAGAAAGGTGGAGGATTCCAAAGAAGGCATTCAATCTGGATTCACGGCATTGCAGCAGATGCTGTATGCTTACCGATGTCAAATTCCCGCAAGTTAGGAGTCATCCAACCGTCTACATCAATTGTATTAATCTTATTGTAATTGAAGTCCAATATCTCTAGGCTGAGGCTTTGGAGACTAGGAATTGAGGTCAAGGAATTGTTCCGGAGCCATAGTTTATTGAGACTTCGTAATCTTGGGATGATATGGAAAGGGAACTCTTCCAGGTGACTGTTCTGCAGAGTGAAATCCTTCAGACGATCCTTGGAAGGGAGGATGAACGACGGTTGAATACTTGTAACATTAGTGTCGCCTATCCATATGGACTGCAGGGTTAGTTCCCCTAGAATTCCTGCAGAGAGCTTCAAATCTCTCGTATTATTGTATATCTTGAATTCCCTGCAAATAAATAAAAGAAAAGGGAGATGTTACTGGCTGGGATCGTAACAGTTTTCAAGGAACAGTTTTCATGGATACTGAGGGAGAACTGAAGTGGAAGTGATGTTTTATGCAGAAGATTAAGTACATGTTTTATAAGTATAGTGCTTGGCAATTTGTCTTGAGGGCAACAAAGAAAATGAACATATCATTCTTAGCCAATGTTGTAGTCTTTCACGCACGGATTACACCATTCCCATGCAGGTTGGTGCAACGCCATTCGGCCTCCTTCGCTTCGTCGCCTGTATGAAGTCTTCAGGTGTACTCACATAAGGGCACCAGTGCGTCTAATTTTCTCAATAAGAGGGATATGGTTCTGGCTGTCTCGTCGCAAATCATCGATAAAACACGAGGGGTTCCGTGCTTCCCAGTACTCTGTTCCCAGTATCGTCATGGCATATTTTTCAGGCAGACAATAGCGATTACCAGAAATACGGATTAGTGATAGGGGTAAATGGAGTCCGGATATCAAAATGCATGGAAATTACTAATCGAAAGATCTGCTGCCGACACAAGTTATAACTAAAGCAACGGACAGTAAATCGAAATCAAGTCTGTCTCCAAGATAATTTTTCGTGCACAATACGATTCCAGGAATACGTATCCAGAGAGAGTAGAGAAGGAAGATGGGAAAGAAGGGTTTATGTCTTGAAAGCTTCCTTTGTATTGCCTCAAAGTGTGGCTGTCTCCAAGATAATTTTTCGTGCACAATACGATTCCAGGAATACGTATCCAGAGAGAGTAGAGAAGGAAGATGGGAAAGAAGGGTTTATGTCTTGAAAGCTTCCTTTGTATTGCCTCAAAGTGGCCATTATCATTTTGAGGCTATACAAACGTATGGAGAAAAATATCCCTCGGGTAGTGCCTGTTATTAACGCGATTCCAGATGAATATGAAAGGGATCATTGATTTTGACTATTGGATTGCCCGCTAATGATACTTTCGCCCCTATTGACTCTACCTTGCCATTCAAGTAAACCTTGCTTTAATATTTAGAACTGTGTCTCTCGCAGGAGGAAATGAGACATTCGGGCTTTCAATCTCTAGAACAGTTTTCATAAATTTAATAATCAATGTGTAGGAATGCATTTTGTCCCTTTCTGCAGCCCTTCCAATTCCACTCCACTCTGTATGCCACATATATAAGAAAAGGGTGCAATATACTTTGAGAGCCACTCGTGCCAGTCACGGACTTAACCAACCTACGAGCTGCCCCTATGACCGTCTATACAGGACGGTCGAGGATGTCCAAGCCTGAAATACTACCATTTGAATGTAGTGCCAAGCGGCACCCCCTTCCTTGTTGTGTCATAGATCCGTTGTAGTTCGTGTTCGCACCACGTTCCGTCTTAAAAAAAACCTATACTAGAAGTAAAGTAATGTTATTAATAGCATATTATACTGTATTTTTAAATGATCGGAAGGAAAATGATGAAATATATGAGGATTTTATTTAATTTATTTTAAAAATTATTTCGCCCATTTTCGCAGAGACAAAGGTAGTTAACAAAAGTAAATTAATTACGATTAAGATTATCCCTTCATTTTCTCAAGACTTCAATGAGTGCTTTTGTAAAAAATATATATATATATAGTATTTTAATTTTTTAAAGGTCATGTAGTTCACCAAAACCTAGAATACCTCCTCCTTTTCGGATTTGCATATATTTTAAAGAATTTTCATTACAACTCTTACAATCGGATGTGTTACGGTGTATTTACGTTTCAAACATAAAGGTACATTTTCAGGCTAATAAAAGCGAAAACACGTTCCAAGTAGACTCTTTTATTCTATCCTTCCTTCCTATAATTGGAGCCCATCACTCCAAACTTTACACTCCCCAACAAAAAGTTCCAGCTAGAAACAGCAAGCTTTCCATCAGCAAATGTGTGTCCCGTCCAGCAGGAACTGCATCATTTCCAACCAGATGATCAGCATTTAACCATACGATAAAGGTCGACCTTACTTGGTTGTCCTAGGTCAACCTAGGGTGCAACATAAAACGACATAAAGACGAAAAGGACATCCTTTTACGGTTGGAAAATTAAGGGCTAAAAGATCAGTTACGTTTCCTGCATGCAATCTCCCTGCCAGAAAAATCCATCACAATCTGGTTAAAACCAGTAATATTTCCAACATGAACTTTTTGCTGGGTCACAACTTACACTCATAATTTTATACTCCAAAAATAATTTTAGGGATCTTTTTTAAGGAAACAGTGCAGTTAATAACTTGGGGAGAACACATTGGATTTGAAACATATTAACCTTTTTTTGAGTCTATCAAAAAAGCATAACTGTTATTTTCATATTTTCGTATTTGAAATGAAACCAACTAACCTATTATTTCGAAGGAGAAATCTTTCTCTCACCAGATTTCAGTTGAGGGCCATGCTACATTCTCCAACGATTTTGCTATTTCCTTCTCCGATCCAGCTCTGGAGCAATCCACTTGCGCTTTGCCACCGTTATTAAAAGATGCGAAGATTTTGTGAATGCCGTTACGTTCTTTCATCCACTAACGGTGACTGCGGAATGCCTCTCTTCCTTATACGCTCAGTAGTTCCCGTCGCAGAATTGTTTAAATTTCCCCACCTTTTTCGTGGCCTGAGAACAACACCAAAATGCAATGTAGTGAAATGGAGCGCTTTCTCAATGATGCAGATTTTCACGAAGCAGTGTTGTATACTGGCGACGGGACTGGTAACACTATGACATGATCATGACATGAACTATGACATATGACCATTGCCAACAGTTACCATAGCAATAATGTCTGTAGCCGACCATGCATCGTACTCTCAATGTTGGTTGTGAGCACATCGCCCATGAAGCCATTTAGTGAAATGCTATTTTTTTGACGAAATGAGATCCTATAACGTCGGAATTGTAGGACTTTTGGAACTGTTGACGCAATAAGTATCGCTTCCGGATCATAAGAATTTAATTGACACATGCAGTATTCAAATGAGAGACACTGGAGTAATTTGGAACTCCCAGGAATCAGACGGTGAAGGGGAAATGGTTCCCGTCATGAAGTGCACTCGAGTTCTCCTATGTAACAATATCTTGTGAATATTGTCTCATACAGTTCTAATGAGAAACAATACTAGAATTTCAAGCAGACATGCCTTCAATCGATAATAGTAGATGCATTCCGTCATCGGGGAAACCCCAATGGAACGAATGGACATTTTCAGCGTGTGCAGCTCCGTAGCCTCGAAGTACAAGCTCAATTCGAAATATCCGGGAATTTAGAACACCCGAGTAGAGTTAAGGAAGATTTTGAGTTCGTGCGAGATGCGGATTGACTGAATAGGACCGATCTGACCAGTGTATCGGGCATGTGGCTAGATTGGCAATTGAGTTTTCGGGCGGGTGCGGCCCACGATGTTGTGAGCACTTCGCCCGGGATGACGTTCAAGAAAATGATGTCCTTATCACCGAAATTTGGCCTTCTCACGTGAAAATGGTTAGATATTTTGGACTTATCATCCGTAAAGAATTGTTTCCAGGGCATCAACTTTCGAATGACATTGCAGTCATGAAAATCAGTTCATCCCTCCAGGAGGTACCCGGAATTGAATCCTGACATGGACAGATTAACATTTTATACTCCTGTATATTACGAATATTCATAAGACTAGCCGACCCGTGGAAGACTTCCACGAACTCTTCGGCAAGAAATCCCGAGTTCATTCGGCGGCCTTAAAACTCAGAGGCCCTCTCATAGCAGCCAAACTTTCCCATTCTTTACGTGTCCCCGCGTACAATGCTTGGAGTCCCCTTTTATCCCAATAAAGGTAGGATGACTTCCTTGCCAAGGTGAGATCTTCGACCTCACATTTATCGGCACTTTTCCTCATTGATTACAACCCTGTTCGTTTCGTCAGAAAAGACCGTCTCCACTACTTTGCGTGCACGCCTATGAGGGAAATATACGGAAATGGATAAAGGATGGTAACCCAATCGGCGGGATCCTTGCGATTCCAGAATAAAACATCCATTTCAGTGTTTTCTCAACGCTTTGCGTAGCAACTTCTTGGACATTGTACGCCTTGCGCAGCCCTACCCCATCCCCCCGTACTCACGGGGGTGTTCGTGCCTACGATACGACTTTTCCAGATCCCGAGAAATATATGGTAGGAGATCTTCCCATCCCCGGCGAGAAAGTAATCCTTCCTCAAGGTATGAAAGGGGACGGCAAATGTGATACGCGGGGACTTTTACGCGTCCCTGGGAAAAATTCTGTATCGGAGATGTGAACACCCAGAGGGAGAATAGCAGAGACATGCGTAGAATGTCTTTCTCTCCCGTGGTAGTGTTAGGGATGGCATGGAGAAGTAAGACTTACCCGCGTGGGTTCCGTGGTGTAATGGAAACATACTTAACCGCCAAGTAGTAAGTCCTAGTTTCAATTCCCGCGTGTTCCATCGGTCTTTTCGTCCTCCTATGCCATCTAAACTCTTCACCGCTCCCCCTGGGGCTGTTACGTTAACGAAAATAGATCCGATTGTCGTAACGGCCGGGAAAGAGAAAGTGCGAACCGAAGAGTGGGAGACGTACACCCGGAGGCAGGCATGAAGGCGCTGCACATGGGCACATGCACTAGCGGACATACACACGGAGGCCCAAACATATTATACACTAGCGAGTTTCTTTGCCCAAAGGCAAACAAACTCGCTATAGTCGCACCTTCGGCGCTCCATTACCTTGAATAGTGATTAATTCATTTATTCTTTGCGAAATGGCAAACACGTATTTAAAATACGTCCCCATTAAAATACGTGACTTAAAGGGAAGAAAGTCTTGATTTAAAAAAAAATCAAAATCATTACTTCCATGATTTCTAGTGTGCCTAACTTGAAATCTTTTCTTGTGTCCCATTTTGTAAGGATGGAGAATACATTATGAAATACTTCCTTCCTATAATCTACGCTAAGGGGACATATCTCAAAAGTAGGATTTTTCCTGTACTCAGCCATCAAACAGGTACTTCTGAGGGAAGTTTACATTTTCTGTCTCTGTATCGTTGGATCAAAAATAATTAGGAAAATGGGACTGAAAAGAGTTCCATGATGGCTTTTGAAATGCGGATTCAAGGAACTCCATGCCACCCAGTTTCAGCCTTATACGTTTCTCCATTTTGCTGGCTGAAAAAAAAATGTATTTCGAAAAGCGACCCACCCAAAAGCTATGCTCTGGGGAGGTGCACAACAAAAGTTGAATTTTTCCTTAAATCAACATCACGTTCGTTATGCGTGCGCCAGTTTCTTTTCTATTTCTGCCCGATTCTGTAGAATATGAAATCTTATTCGAAAACGTTACGTCCCCAAGAAATATGAACCCCAAAAATATTTTGGAAATTGGACGTTTGACATTTCAGCTCAGTGC